TTCGATGACCACCGCCTGGCAGCTAGACGCGAAGCGAGCAAATTCATCAGGGTCGGGGCCAAGGGGCAAGCGAGTGATGCTGTCAACGGAATCCGGCTTGAGTTTGTCCATCTTGTCTTGAATGCGAATTATGTCAGCCTCCGCTGCAGAGGCGTCCGCAGCATCCAAAGCGTCTTGTCTCGCTCGTGCTCCCGTGGAAGAGAGAGGCAAACCAGCGTCGTCCCGGGCCTGCAACGATGCGCCTGGCCCCGGCCTCGAGACAACGGTGTCAGCTGTAAGGACGGGTTGAGACGTAAGAGACACACGCTGAAGGGGGGGGGGGGGCTCCTGCAAAGGTTGCGAGAGGGAGGCCGCGGCGACTGGAACCGCCATCTTCTCCTCCGAACGCGGTGCCTCCTGCGCCTTGATGGATGCGAGTCCTGCAGGTGTCTCTGTGCCTACTGTAGCGTCAGAAAAAATCGAAGGATGGCCCCGCCCCGGGACCAACTCCGGTCGTGGCGAAATAGATGAGGCAAGCGGCGGTCTAGGTGCGGGTTGAGGCGCAAGCGGTTGCACCTCGGCGTTGGCGTCCGCATCCACACCATGGCCCGGCGTTTGGCATCGAAGGAGCGAGAGTACTTGTTCCAACAGCATTTCAGTACGGGAAGCGGAAGTAGACGCTTGTGAGGGCGTACGGTGTGGCGAATCAACACGGTCTCTCGGAGGCATGGAAGGCACGGGGGGGTCTTGAACAACAAGGGGCGGGACAGAACCTTTCACAGCAACTGAATGATCTCGGAGTTGCATGTTGGCTAACTTGAACGCCAGAGAATGCATGGAAGGGGCGGCTCTAACAGCAGGCGCACGAGGAGCGTGAGGGGAAAAACCAAGAGAATCGTCCTCCGAAGCTTCTTTGTCTTCTCCCAACAATCCCGAGCTACGAAAATCGTCCCGATCACACCTCACTTGCCTGTTTCCTTGGTTGGACTTCCGTTCTTCCTGTCCCCCCCTGTTGCGACCACGACCGCCCGCCCTGAGTGGTTCCCGGCTCCTGTTCCGGCCCGGGCTCCGGCTCCGGCTGCTGGTGAGTCGAGACGACGACGACCTGTCATGTCCGCCATCCCGGCGATGGTCGCGACGGCCGTTCCGGGGGCTCCGGCTCCGGCTCCGGCGTTGGCGCGAGTGCCAATCCCCGCGAGCTCTCCCACCTTCGTTACCCTGCACCCGACCCCCGCGAGCTCTCCCACCATCGTCACGCCGCGCCCGACCCCCGCGAGCGCTCTCACCATCAGACACGACCGAACCTTGTGTGCCCCACCGGTCCTTCCTCGAAGCTTTGGTCGACGCCGCTTGGTTCCCGATATGTTTGTCGTTGTGCCGGGGAGAAACTTGCTGCTGTAGGCGTGAGTCCTGGGGGGGGGGGGTGTTCCCAGATACCAATCATTGAAGACGCAAGCGAAGGATGCCCTGGAGTCCGGGAATGCAGTACCGGCGGTGCCCTGTGCCGCCGATTCCTCCGCTCTTCGCACTCGTGGCGAGCCTTCAGTAGCAGCGGGGGGGGGGGGGGGGCTGAGCGGCCGA